GAAAATTAGTCGTATGTGAGCTTAATAGAACGGATGTCTGGGATGAAACTGTGAAGAAAAACAATCTCAAGGCTAGAAAATTGGAGGAGGTTGCTACATTCTGGTTTGTTGATGTGATTTTTGGTTTTAGAGTGTACGTTGGATATTATGAATAAGAGCAAAGAACACGATTTTTTGGAATTCAAAAACACCAAATATTTGCTCATTTCTATCATTGATTGAAAATAAATAAATAAATAAAATTTGTGGGTTCATGTGGGTTCACGTGAATCCGCCAACGTACCTCCATGTAATTTACATATATTTAACCAATAACATTTGAAAGGTTTTAGACTTTCTAAATATAAAGACTCGATCTTCTTTTCAACTAAAGTCAAGAAGATCCCGAAAATTTCGATAATCTTCTATCATGCTACAAATAAAGTTCGTTGTCCTCTTATTAACTTTTCTTAACCTACTCTGGAGCTAGGGATCAAGCTCATGAAACGTGATACATGCCTAAGAAAGTTAGTACAAAAGCTTGACTAATTCAAAGGCATGTGACCTATGAAATTTCTAGACACNTTATTGGAATAGTTGGATAAAAATGGCCAAATATGTTAATTATAAGTAATGTTATTTAGCAACAGTGGTGTCAGCGTCTATTTAGATGACAATTGCATAATATTGAATAATAGATTTACTTAAAAAAAATCATATGATTCGTTTAATTATACCTATTAAGTGTGATAGCCTAAAAGTCCTAAACTGATTGTTTAGAACCACTATTCATTAAACATGCGATAAAAAGATACATTCTCTTATAAAATAATTTTATACCTAAATCCAAAACTTTTTATTTTTTAACCACACGTTATCCGAAAAATCACTATTTCAAAATTCACTTTCATCTAAAAAACGAAGATTTTAAGTGTAGCAATGGTGACCTTTTCCGGTGGAAGCATATGTGAGAAGATATTGGTTGAACAATTTGGACTGGAATATGTAGAATTCGATGAAAATTAGTCGTATGTGAGCTTAATAGAACGGATGTCTGGGATGAAACTCTGAAGAAAAACAATCTGAAGGCCAGAAAATTGGAGGAGGTTGCTACATTCTGGTTTGTTGATGTGATTTTTGGTTTTAGAGTGTACGTTGGATATTATGAATAAGAGCAAAGAACACGATTTTTTGGAATTCAGAAACACCAAATATTTGCTCATTTCTATCATTGATTGAAAATAAATAAATAAATAAAATTTGTGGGTTCATGTGGGTTCACGTGAATCCGCCAACGTACTTCCATGTAATTTACATATATTTAACCAATAACATTTGAAAGGTTTTAGACTTTCCAAATTTAAAGACTCGATCTTCTTTTCAACTAAAGTCAAGAAGATCCCGAAAATTTCGTTAATCTTCTATCATGCTACAAATAAAGTTTGTTGTCCTCTTATTAACTTTTCTTAACCTACTCTGGAGCTAGGGATCAAGCTTATGAAACGTGATACATGCCTAAGAAAGTTAGTACAAAAGCTTGACTAATTCAAAGGCATGTGACCTATGAAATTTCTAGACACATAATTACTATTAAATTATTGGCTACAATTAATAATATAAGTAATTGTATTAATGTTTATATTATTTGCACGTGATTATTTGCTAGTTTATTATTTTGTCAACATGCCATTGCCGTCCCTCTGCTTTCTCTCTTTTTTTTCTTTTTTTTTTCAAAAAAATCATATTATTTTCGTAATTAATAAATAACACGAAAATTTAGCCCTAATAAATTAGTCTTACATAACTAAAAAAACATCACGAGGGAAATGCCATTACGACCGAGCCAATAATATTCAGCCACGTTTAGGTACGAGTTATCTGCTGTTCCAAGACCATGTGCGTCCCAACTGCCACCAACTGCACTGTAAGCGCTGTACCACGTGTTAATTTGTGATTGGCTAATGGAACGAGCAATTGCCGTTTGCTTCATCGGGAAGTTTATAATAAACAGTGGTCGTGTGTCCCACTTTGACCCTACTGTTGACTTGCATTAGTATTGCGCAAGATGTGGCGTTAATTCTAACGCCGTTAAATCCTCTCGCTTGCCCCCCAAAAGCTGAAAATGACATATTAGGCCATTATACTATTATTACTTTGATTATTAAAAAAAAAAAAATTATGTATTATTTATAAGAATTAAAAGATCTTGATATTAAGGGGGTGTTTGATAGTCATTTTTATAAAAAAAATGTATTTTAAAATAGTAAATTGATGTGAAATGTGTGGTTGAAAAATAAGGAAATTTTTTTTATTTGCGTGTAATATTATTTTAATAAAAAATGTGTGGTTGAAAAGAAGAGAGAGAAAAATGTATTTTGAAAAAAATAGCTAACAAACGGGGCCTAATATCGAGATTGTAAGGAAAAAAATTAAAATTCGATTCTATAATGATAATCAACAACTAGGTTGGAACTATCCAATTCTTGATATTAAAAAATAAAACTTGTTAAAATTTATTTTGAACTTAACCTAATAGGTTAGTTCAAACCGGATTCTAAATATAAATCTCCACCCAAAATTTAACACGTTTGGAATAGGATAAGTGACAAAATATATTAATGATAATATGGCTACACAATATTGACCTACATATTATTGATTTATGTGAGGAATCTCTTCATTTTAGTAATTGATAAGGTTGTGTGTGTGGAGTAATCAACCATGAAATAAATTGGGTGGGTCCTATATATTATTCATCTGGTCGAAATATATATTGCACATTATTTTAAAATACTTTATGAGCACTGTAAAAATAATATTTGATATCAATTTGTTGAAAGGATTTGATAAGTTTGAAACGAATCAAAGAAAATAAAATTTAGGATAGAAATTCAAGAGAAGAAAATTGTACTCTTAAAATTCAATTTCTATAATTCAAATTTGTTGTAAGAATGAAATACTAAAAATGGGCAACTTTTTATACTACATTTGGTACATAATAATTAATTGCTAATACATAAATTTAAACACCCATTAAGATTTCTAAATACATGAATATAAATAAGTTCATTTATAATAACTCTAGATTCATAAAGATTATAATTTATTAAGTCAAAATTCATTGAATATAGATTAATGTAAATACTGATTAATTGATAATTAATAATACAAAATTTATATACAACAAGGATTTTGTAGTATTTTTTACATATTGAAAAACGAAAAGTAAGGTATCATTAAAATAATTGAATTGTAATACGGTTAAAATTATCCCAATTTTTTTTCCCACTTGATGTGCTATTTAACATATTATAGATTATAGATTATTTTGTTCATTGACTAATTAATTGAATTATAAAAGAATCAAGTCAGTGATTAATGAAGACAAAGACACGTCTATAGTTATATTAGTGTAAGGTGTTGATTGGACTATTATAAATTATATAACGAGAGTCTGTTTGACATGATTTTTATATTTGCATTTTCTTATTGTGCAAGAATTTTTCTTAATTATTAGGAAGCTCACCAAAATAAGTTTTTTAAAGAAATTCTTCTAATCGTATAAAATACTCTCAGAAAATTATTCAAACTATTATTATTAAGAGCAACTTATTAGTCTGATAAATAATTATTGACTTTTTAAAAATCAACGCAAACAGCCCTTAATCATGTTTAGCTTTTACTTTAGAAATCAAAGCAATTGGACTTCAAATAAGTTTATGGCAGAATTTTCAATCTGATTATTATTATTATTATTTACAAAAAAATTTTTATGACCGTTTCAAAAAGTGTACTCTTCGTCATGTAATGTTCACATGATATTTATGGTTTCACTTTGTTACTTTAAAATTTCCTTTTTTTTCCTTTCACTTTTCCTTTTCTATTTTACTTTTATTTATTTATTTCTTAAAAGAAATATAATGTGTAGACAAGAATACCCTGATCTAAAAAGGACATGGTTGTATATGATTATTTAACACAAATTTGAATAATTACGTAAAAAAGTGATTAATGTACACCTGAATCGAAAGTTCCAAAATCAGAAAAATTAGAAGATTTGGGACTAATTTTGGAGACCATCCCTACACAATAAAAACAACGTAAAGAGGTAGTCTCTTATGATCTTGTTTCGTGAGAAATATCATGCTGCTCGATTTTTCTTTAGAGCTTAACTATACGAGCAAGGGGGAGGGTCACAAGGGCCGATTTTTTTTTCTTTATATTGAACTGATATATAAAAAATCCATTAAAAATGGAATTTTCACAATAAAAAAAAAGTTTCCAATTGTGCTATATTTGTATCAAGTTTGACATCAAGTGAGGTGGTTGATGTAGTTAAAAATTAAATTTTAATAGATTTTTATAAAAAAATCATGAATTGTATCATAGAAAAGTTGATAAAAGTTACGAATCTCATAAAATATATTACTCCATCCGTCCTATTTATATAGGCTTACTCTCCTTATTTTTTTGTCCCAACTATATAAAAATATTTTTTTATTGAAAATGTTTTGTTTTGTTCATTTACTAATATACATTTACTTAATTTGCTTAGTTGTAACCAATTTTTCTCACCTAATCTTGAAGTTATACAAATATAAATAAAGGTAAAGTAGAAATGTTTTTGGTAAAAATTATTTTTTCAATAACATCAAGGGTCTGTTTGGTGCTGATTATGAGAATTATTTTTTTAGCCGTTAGAAAGAAAAATGAGTCTCATCGATAAGTGAAGCGGTAAAAAATAGCGACCGACTATGTTAAGTAATGGTCAAAATTTTAATTTTTTGGTTTGAAAAAACAGAACTGAAAGGGGGTTAAATAAGATTTCTTAATTTGTGTAAAAACAAAAAAAAAACAAAATTAACCTACATAAATGGGATTAAGAGAGTATTAAAATTAATTTCTATCAACTTAATAGCAGGAAACAAGTCGTTAACGGCACGTCAAGGGGGCAAACGGCGTAAATTTGCAGAGAAAACGAGGCCACCAACAAGAAAAAACAGAAGACTATACAAAAATAAAGAACAACCCTTGGAAATTGCAAAGAACAGTAGCGCCTCTAAATTCTTTGTAAGAGCCACATATGTTCCTCGTGCGCTTTTTTTTTTCTTCCTTTTTTTAATCTTTAAATCCTTCATTTTCGTTTCATTTAAATTCTACTGCTTGTTCGCACATATGGTGTCCAATAACCATTGAATTCATTAATTGTGTTTCAAAGTACAAGTTGCGGTCTTTATTTTTTCAGATGGGTTCATCGGAAATTATGGATTCCGGCAAGTTTTCCGGCCAGAGGTCCAATTTTTCACAGACCTGTAGTTTGTTGAGCCAGTACTTGAAAGAGAAGGGTAGCTTTGGAGATCTTACTCTTGGTCTCACTCAGAATTTTGAACCCAAAGGTTTGAATAAATCTCTCTCAGATGGCTGGATCTGTTTTTATTTCTTTCTTTTTCTGGTTTTTTTGATCGATTGAATGAATTTCCTAAAATTTTCTTATTCTTCTTTTTCTTTTTCTTTTTTTCAAAAAAGGAGCTCCAACGGCAACTGAAACCATGAACTTATTCCCAGTCATTGGGAACTCTGAAACTCCGACCCATGAAAAACTCAACATGTCCATTATCCCTCAGAAGAAAACTGATCTCAGGTTTAATTTGTTGTCTTTTATCAGCCTTGAATTTATGGCTTGATTATGTTAATTTTTTAGCTTACAACTTTTTGATATCATTTTATGTGGCAGTGGGACAAAATCTGAGCCAGAAACTGCACAAATGACCATATTCTACTGCGGCCAAGTGATGGTTTTCGAAGATTTTCCGGCTGAAAAGGCAAAAGAAATCATGCTTTTGGCTAGCAAGTCAAGTTCACAAAACCATTCCACTACCGCCGCCGCTGCCGCCTTAGCTCCGCCAAGTATGGTCCAAAGTCCAGCTGAATCCGCCACCAACATCCCAGTTGCTACACCTGTTTCCACTTTCGTCCATAACCCTCCTCAGCCATCCCTTGCTTCTGGTAATTAAGCTGCTTAAAATCTTGCTTTAATTTCTCGATATTTTGTTCATTTTATGTTCTTGAATCTTGAATTTGTCTAATTTACCTCTAATTTTTTTCTATTTGCAGATTTACCAATTGCAAGGAAAAATTCGCTAGCCCGGTTTCTCGAGAAGAGAAAAGATAGGTAAGTAGTCGAAAATTCATAGAGTGGACTCAATTTATTAAAAAATAAAATTTAATTTATCATTTTGATGGCTAAGATTTGTTCTGATGTTTCAGGATCACATCAAAGGCGCCTTACCAGGCAATGGCACCTCCAAAGCCAATTAAAACTGAAGAATGGCTGGGATTGGCTCCTCAATATCCAACTTCAAATTGAGCTTTAATTAATTATTAAATATAATATTAATTAATCTAATATTAGTTTACTTGTATTGATTAAAGGCCAACTTGGCTTCACTATTAGTTAAGTGTCTAACTGATTAATCTGTGTTATTAAGATTGAAGAGAATATTTCCCTTTCCTTTCAGCCTATAGTTCCTAGAATATATTCTTTTAATCTCTATTGCTATTCTCGTTGAATGGATGTTTGTGGTGTCTGTTGGTTTCCTTTTTATCGCATAATACTATATTATTGTCGATTTTCATGGATTGATTTTGTTATTTGTTTGGGGTTGGTTGCATTTTCGTTACTTGAATTGACTAATTTGACGTCATTTCGATATGGTATCAAATTTAAAAGGCTTAAATAAGTAATTCGATCTATCTAAAGACTTGCTTGACAATGATTTTGAAAATTTAAAACTTGTTCGAAATATTTTTTGGAAACGATTTGAAAGTCGACCAAGGATAGCTCTTGTCAAATGGATCCCTAAGTTCAAATTTTAAAATTAGTTTTTCAAATAAATCATTATATTTTAGGGCATGGGGTAAAATAATACAAGGACTTGAACCTCAAACAGTGAAAAGGAGGAAAGGGGGGGGGGGGGGGGGGGGGGGA